AATGGTTACTTTACATTTTTTGACCGAAAATCCTCAAGAGAAATCATTACAACTCGCAGAAATAATGAATTTTTGAGTAAATCCCATCAGTATTGCGAAACGTTTCTCTGTTAGACATCCTAACAGACTTTTGCCTGTTTAATTCTAAGAAGTTACAGAATCGGGGTGCTGCAAATGCAAAATGTGGCACAATTCAGCTGAGAGGCACACACTAACTAAACTTACCTTCAGATTGTCAGCTATTCTTTTCGGTTGAGATGATTTTGGAATGACACCCACTCTCTGGCTGATTGCCCACGATAAAAGGATGATCTGAATGAACGTAGCCCATATTTATTTATTTACTTATTTATTTACATTCATTGATGCGCCGAAGTTGTTCAGACAACAAAAAAAGAAAAACGTCAAGTAACACAAAGTCAAGAGAAAATCATATGCAGTGGCCTTTTTGAGGTTATAAATTTCACAGATAATTGAGTCAAGTAGGCAGTTTTCAAGGTTTATTCGTGCTTTTTATGAGTAAACAGAAAAATTAACGCTTTTGATACCAAAGCCATATCAACAGTATCAAGAGCGAAAGGTATTAAAGTGCCCAAGGAAACTTCATAGTGCCACAGTTGAAGTTCATTGTATTCGATATTCTAAAGATTCATTGTATGAGGATACGCAGCGGTATCACGTTACTGTAGGTGGAGCTAGCTTAGCAGACGTGGCGTAAATTTAAAGGTACTCTCTCGTTAGTTACAAAACAAAAGTTCCAAAACTATTTCATGTGATTTAAACATTAGTTGACAGACTGACCTGCGCTGAAGTGTTGTATTTCTCGGCCAATTTCGAGACAATTTCGTGCTCGAGAAGATCTTCGTTTTGACGTGCTAATGATGAATATGCCTGCAACATTTTCCTCGTTTGCGGAAAAATGAGACGACTCAAGAGACTACCTGGAAGAAAATACCATTGTTGTCACAGTAGTCCTTCAGTTCATCTCGCGTGAAGTGAGGATGGTACTCCACTTGATTCACAGCTGGCATGTTCTCAAATAAAAGATACTTAGAATAGCCTTTTGCGAGAAATGTTCGACAAACCTGGCCGTATTTTTTTATTTCCTCTAAATGACGTATTTCGTAGTTGGATACCCCAACAGAGTGAATCTTATCAGACACTGAAAGTTTGATGATGAGGATTTATATTCCTGTATACTATAATGAAGCAGGTTTGACTCTGGATAGATAAAATGCTAGAGATATGAGAAAGAGTTCGAACAATTTTTTTTTCATACACTGTCCGGTTTGGCGGTTAAGAATTATACGAGTAGTGGTGCAGTATAGTCAAAATAGCCCCTCTTTCCAAAAATTCATGGTAAGTGCCAATAGGTCTACGAGTTATAAGTTGCAAGTATTGTTTATACTTGTGAATAATTCACTTGAATTAGCTTTGTAAACAAGTTTTCGGAAGCGTGGCTGGCACACCCTCTTTCCTAAGAATCGGGATTATAGTAGGCCAACTAAGACTTGAGAAGCAGCCCAAAAATTCCTTTGGAGGGCGTGATTAACGCCAAATCAATCAAAACAACTGAAAGCGTCAAAATCTCTCCATTATTAAAAGTTCCAATGAGATCTGTTTGATAAATTTTTTCATTGTTTCCACCATAACGCTCTAACTATGAACCTATGGCTTAAACAAAGAGAAAAGTTACGAAGTGTATTATGAATTCGCCGATATTTTCGACCGACATTTCAGTTTTTCCAGAGCCAAATAGGCATTTCTTCGATGGATGGCATTTTTGGGATCATCCAGTTTCGTTTCTTTCGTCTTTGGAAAATGAATAAGCACCAGATCTATATAGCTGAAAAATGGATTGTAAATTACTACACTACTAGTCGAGGTCTATTCTTACTCAGTGCGAAGATTATGGAGGGATTCTTCGACAGTGCTCTCTATTTCTGCGAGAAAATTGTTGCTACCACTTGGATATAGCTTTGTAGTTATGAAGACATCTTCCCGCCGAAGATTATGGTTTGGAAGGCATATCTGTAAAAGGCGCAAAAAGTAGAATTGTTAACAGATGAATACTCTCAGTACCTCAAGAGCTTGTCCGAGCTCTGCTTCGTTGAAGTAAAACTTAGCCGTGTCGAACAAGCGATAGCCAGCCGCTAAAGCGGCATCAACAGCTGGCAGCATCTCAAAAGTTATTGCTTGTTCTTATAGGAACGAACCGATTTACTTAAGAAACTATTTTTAAGTCAAATTAATCTACTCATCTGATAAGCGACATTTTGAAAATGTTTTTATAAACAGTAGTTTAAAATGTCTTCAAGCTGCAATCTCGCAGATGTTATTTTTAAGCACTGCAAAGTTCTAAAATTATTCAATATGATAATCTATGGCAATTCAGTTCTTGCACTCAGCTTAGTTAAAATCGTTGTTGAACGCTTCACAGTATCATCCTTTCAAGCGGCTGTGTTTTCAGTCTGATCCTATTCATGGAATCCTGAATATTTGCAGGAGTTTTGAACCCATTGTTTTTACATAATCCAAAGTCAGCTAATTCAAAACTTCAAAGTTCACTTGGCAGACTTTCGAAGAGATATAAATAAATAGGAAAAAGCAAATTTTTTCCAATACGACATCTCTTTAGTGCTTTTCCAACTCTTTTCTTTTGAGATAACAATTTTTTATGCACAGTTTACATCAGTCAACCTAGGACTTGATGACTAACATTAGCATAATTTGTGTTAATTTCTCTCTTTGGCCAGTTTTATTGCAGGATCTCCAAATAGTGTTCGCATTTCACCACCGCATAAGATTGTGCTAAAATTTCCATTTGCGGGATTTTGATGGGAAGCCACTCTTTCGGAACTTTCAAATTCTAAAAATTTCTGGAGCTACGTAAGTAAAGGAGAATATTCTGATAACTGTAACAGTCAGCTCGATTTCGTATGACTTTCATATGACCATACATACATCCAATTTGTAGCTACACCAGGAAGAGAAAAGAGCTTTATCAAACAACGCTTAGAAAGTTTCTGTTATTTTAGTCAGCGGACACGCAAGAAAAGGCAATCTCCCGGAACAGCACCACGGTTGCAAAAACATCATAATTTTGGAAAAATCACAAACTGATCAAAGCAGCAGATTTCAATGCGCTTTATTTTCATTCCTAGAAAAAGGAGAACGGAAGTATTTCGTGATACGAGAAGTGCAAGAACTGATTATTGCTCTACAGAAAACTTTATTTTACAGCAGCATAGAAAAGTTGCAACTAATGTAATCTTCCGCAGAAGTTCACATACATCACTTGGTTTCATGTCATAATATTTTTGGAAACGCATCAAATTTACTTCTGCGAAGAACAATTTTGTCACAGCATTATAAAGTTGGAAAGTCAAAACATGCCTTATAGAGCGGCGCAAGAAATTTTTGAAGTACCTCATCATTCAGAGATTTATGAAAATGGTATGGTTGCAAAAAATGGTAACGATTTCAAAGCAAACCAAATCTCCGATAATCTTGTAAGTTCCCAAACCAATCAGCGGAATTGAATGTCCAGTGTTCAGCAGTACACTGTCGATGTGAATGCTCATCTGCAAATTCAAAGCCTAGAAATTTGTCTCCTATCCAAAATCAAAAACCATGGAGACT